TCCGTTCTGCTTGTATTCAATGCCTAACAAATCAATTGCATCTAACCCCATCTTGAAGTCTGTGGCTTAAGAGCATAAGAGTAGTTCCTACAGTATACATTACTACTTCGCTGTCGCAATGCCCACAATCTAAAAAAATTAAAATCAACTCACCAACGTTGACGACCTTTTTAAAGTATGAATTATAGCTCACCTCTTTATTTAATAATAATTCATTTTAATGTGCTGTTTTATCGAGGGAGCTTTTGGAATCCTTGCTTAGACAGGGGGTGTACGAATAGGCCGCTCTCATATTTATCAGCCATTGATAAGTTCCTCGTAAGTGGTTTGATTCGTCGTGAGTTTGATCTCTAGCAGTGTTGGTTTTTATGCAAAGTACGCCACAACTATAAAAATTTTGCGCCACCATTGTACCTTTCGAACTGTACCAAAGTTTTGTGATTTAGTGTAAATATCGGCCGACAATGACTTCCATCGAGCGACCTGTTTGGGATGATGTCGACGTAGGATGTCATAGTTCTCTTAACGAATGGTTTTGAATAAAGGAATCTTTAATTGATGAAGTCATGCGGATGGCTACAGATGAGTTGGTTGTGCATACTCGTCTACTCGACGGCGAAATTCGCGTAAGTCTGCCGTTACTGCTCTTAATTTTTTGAAGATAATGAAATCTGAGTTACATAGAGTCGACCACGAAATTAAAATGAAGCAGTCAAAGGTTAAAGATAGTAAGAGCAAGATCAAGATGAATAAAGCACTTCCTTACCTTGTTGCGACGGTTGTTGAGGTGAGGTACCGCTCTTCTTCTGATAGGGTTGTAGCTTTTGGATGTTGAACCTGAAGATGAAGAGGAAGATGGTGCTAATGTTGATCTAGACTCACAGAGGAAGGGGAAGTGCGCTGTCGTTAAGACAAGTACTCGTCAGACCTATTTCCTCCCCGTTATTGGCCTCGTTCCACATGAGGAACTGAAGCCCGGCGATCTTGTTGGTGTCAATAAGGATTCGTATCTCATTCTCGAAAAACTTCCAGCAGAATTTGACTCTCGTGTTAAGGCCATGGAAGTTGACGATAGGCCCACCGAAAGGTATGGCGATATTGGTGGACTGGATAAACAAATTCAAGAGTTGATCGAGGCCGTTGTTCTACCAATGACCCACAAAGACAGGTTTGATGCTATTGGCATCCAGCCTCCTAAGGGTGTCCTCCTGTACGGTCCACCTGGAACCGGAAAAACTCTACTGGCTCGTGCTTGTGCAGCTCAGACAAAGTCGACCTTTTTAAAACTGGCTGCGCCCCAACTCGTACAAATGTTCATTGGTGATGGCGCTAAGTTGGTTCGAGACGCCTTTCAGCTTGCTAAAGAAAAGGCTCCGGCTATCATTTTTATCGATGAGTTAGATGCCATAGGTAAGTTTGGATCTTTAGTTTTGTGGGAGTTCTTAACAGTGATGTGTGGTATCCCTACTTTATTGTTTATTGACTATTTTGGGTTGTAAGGGGTCCAATTTTCTGGAAAATAGCGTCTTGCTATTTTACTGCTTTTCCATAATTCTATGTATGAATGTCTAATGGTGGGGACTCTGTGTTTATTTCCCGTATTAGGGTTCCAAGTTAGCCATTTGTGTGTATCACATTTGTCGAGTCGACGTTTATGCTCTCATTGCTTTGCTTCTAGGTACGAAGCGTTTTGACAGTGAAAAAGCCGGTGATCGTGAGGTTCAACGCACAATGTTGGAGCTTTTAAACCAGCTGGATGGTTTTCAACCGAACCATGAGATCAAAGTTATTGCCGCCACAAATCGTGTAGACATTCTTGATCCTGCACTTCTTCGCAGCGGTCGACTTGACCGTAAAATTGAATTCCCTACCCCCAACGAAGAAGCTCGTTCCCGTATCATGCAGATTCATTCGAGAAAAATGAACGTTCAGTAAGTTTTATTTTACTTTATGCCTCCTCATTATTTAATATCCACAGGGAGGCTATAACAATTTTACTCTTGGTATAGAAGCACTTATCAATTTTTGAGCCGATGGTTTTGGTCCACCGCTCAGATTGACCCCTTCAGTGGCTTCTACGACAGTGTAATTTGTTTTTGGGAATTTGTTCTGTCGGTTAATTTGTAGTTCCTTAGGGAATTGAAATTTTGTCCTTAGGATTTTGCTTTTTCCATTGACAACATATTAACAGATGTTCATGGCGGGTTTTTTACCCGAGTTAAAGGGCGATGGCTCAAATCAG